GTCCCGTCCCTCTAGCTGGGGGTCACTGTGAGCCGCCTCGGTCGGCGGCCGCTCGGTCATCCTGCGGGCAGACAGACAGACAAGCGGATGCCCGCTCTGACGACCGCCCCTGACCCACCGACGCGGGCTGGGGTAAAGGGGTGAAGGGCAGAGAGAGGAACTCACACACAGAGACGTAAGAAGAGGCAGACAAAGTTAGCGCCACGTGGGGCTAGGGCGGGAGGCCGGGTAGGGTTAGGGTGGGAGGGAAAGGGGATCTCTGGATTTGGAGAAGGGAGGGGTGCCTGGGAGACACAGAGACTGGGGGCCAAAAGGACAGAGATGGAGGAAGACGACAGAGACACTGGAAGAAAAGGAATACAGCCAGCGAAAGAAACACAGAAGGGGAAATCAGGAGGAAGGAAATGTACAAGGAGGCAAGAAAGAGATTACCCCGTCCCCCTTCTCAGGCCTAAAGGGAAGAGGAGGGAACAAATTCCCGATCGTCCTCTTTGGTTTTAGCGGGGAATCTGTCAGGCAGGAATTCGTTGCTTTGGGAACTTCCCTTGGCCTCTCAGCAATACCCCCAGCTCCCCTACAGGCACACGCTCAGAAACACGGTGCGGGTGGAAGTAGGGAATTAGAAAGTGGAGGCTAAGGGGACTGGGGTCCACTCCACTAGAGCTGGCAGGGAATAATCCCGAGGAACCAGCTCCCTCCCTACACACACACACACACACACACACACACACACACACACACACTCGCCCCCGATGGGGAGTGAGGGAGTGTCTGTCTACACTGAGCAAATCCACTGTGAGTCCTGTGTCCGCCCTGCCGGCCTTTACTCCCGCTCAGACAGAGATGAGAGGTCGCCAAGGGAAGAAGATGGTGCTGGCCGGATCTCCCTAGGCAGTCCACCCCTTTCTGGTCAGCTGGACTTGAAAGAGAGGTCAGGTCTCAAAGAGAGGCCTGGCTGAGGTGAAATGGAGGTGGGCATTTGAAGGGTTCCCTGAGGGCAATGAGGTCTGGACTCCCATCCAAGAGCAGGACAGATGTCATGAAGCTCTTGAACTCTTCCAGCCCCCCTCACCGTCATCTCCTGCCTTGGTGTTCTTTGGGAAATGGGAGGAATACCTCCTTTATGCATTTGAAAATACTGTGCAAATGCTCAAGGAAACATTATTGACAAGGGGAATGGGCCAGTGAGAAAACTGCCTGGCCCAAAGTCACTCACAGTCTATCTGTGAGAGAGCCAGACCAGAACAATAATCTCACTTTGCTCTACCCTCCCATATTCCCAGAGCAGTGAAACCACCTTGTGCTCCCACAAGCATACTCCAGGATGACCACAGCCACTCTACTTCCCACAGGTGTGCTAGGGCTCTTCCATCCCTTGGCTTCATCCAGATAGAGCCGGGCCCAGCAAGAATCAAAACAGAAAAATCGGGAGACTCAAGGGCCAGAGTTTGGGGATGCTTGTGAGTTGTACATATATGATCAACTCCACATAAGTTGTTTAAAATAAGCTTTCTGTTCTCTGAATTATATAATTGGGCATTTAAAAGAAGCAAACAAATACAAAAAAAATCAATTTAGCCCCATGCAGAGTCTATCTAATCATACATAGCAGCCATTGAGCTCCCATACTGCCACTGCAATGCTCTGGACAGGATTCATCCTAGGAACCATCCCTCCCACCCCAGAAGGGAGAAGGGACCATCTGTAGCCTCCTCTGGAGCTTAGCTCAATTGCCACCAGACACCCAGGACGACAGACAGACAAGATTCAGACTGCTGTACACCTGCTCTGAGAATGCCAGCCCCCCAGGTCTGGCACAGAAACCACAAAATTCCCTAAGTCCTGGTGTATACAAGCTGTAAAGGCAGTAGGTCCCTGATGCTTCATTGGAAGTGAGTTTATGATTTTGGTGGAGACAATAGGTCTCTATCCGTAGAATGCAACCACCAAGACACCAAGGCCACTGGAAATACACCAGAAGTATATCACCCAGGTCCTCTTGCTCCCAGCAGCAGCGAAATGTGCCAGAAATATACCAACCCCTGGGAAACATACAAGCTTCAAGGTGTTGGTTCCCTATCTCACTGCTCACTGTCCTGACACACCGGTGTGAGCCCAGGGACCCGTCCTTAAGCCCCAGCTTCTAACCGAGTGACAGTGTGCACTGCAGTTGCAGACTTAGCTCAAGCTCTGTTATGACACGTTTTTACTCTCCGATTAATTATTTGACTCCTGCTCTAGCAGTGGGTTCCTGAGAGGCAATGGGAGTACATATTCCAGATGAATTGACCCTGGCCCCAAATGTCTTCTCCAGACGCCTATAAATATCCCATCTCCAAGGCTCCTTGTGAGAAATATATGATTGGCTCCCAGGGTCTGTGGAGGACCTCTCCCGGCTTCTCCCCACATTTTAGGAAAATCCTGCCTGTTCTTCTGCAACCAGGATCACCAGCCAGAGGTCTATGCCCCAAAGAAGCCACTCACACACACTGATGGTTGTTGGCGACTAAGCTGCATCACTTGGTTTGATTACAGAAAGGAACGCCTGAGTGATTTTATTTGTTTTTATTTGGGGAGAATGAAGGAGGAGGGAGATTTTAGAGTTCTAGACTATTTGGCAACTACAGCTCCTCTCTCTTTGTACTGCGGAGACCCTGCTTATAGCCCCCAATGCAAAATCCTCATCTGCAGTTGCCAGACAGCCAGAATATTTCCACCTGTGCCAGAACAAGACAGAAGACCCCAGGAGATTCTTCCTAGGGACAGGTCTCAAGCAAACCCAATCCCCCATACAGAGAATTTCTTAGATGAAAACAGTCTCAGCCCTTAGACCCAGCCTCTGGTCTCTCTTCTGGGCCCACACCAGCACAACACCCTGGAGAAGCCCCAAGCCTGCACAAGTACCAAACCCACCAGGGAACAGCACCATCATCCTCGCCTCTACCAGAGTAGAGGGGTGTTCCTGCAGCCCCACCCTAGGCCTCAGGCCCGGGGTCAGGGCCCACTCGAGCTGGGACTGCACTAGCCAGGAAGGCTGTCGCCTTCTTCCTGCGGGAGCTCCAGGCAGAGTCTGCACCACCCGGATACAGCCGCCCCAAAGTTACCGGCCTTGCAAAACGTCCACAGAACCGGGACCAACGGGAACGGCCTGGACGACTAAGTCCAAATAACTGGTTTTACCCAGGGCGGAAAAGGGAAAGAGCCGCTGGAGGCCACAGAAGCAGCTAGCAGCAATCAGATACCGATTCCAAGCTCTGGCTGGTCCTCCCCTCCCCCCACCCCCAATCTGAGACTGGGCTCTCCTCTGTCCTGAGCCTTCCTCACCCCAGGCCGGAACCCGAGGCCTTCCTGGACACTGTTTCCACCGGCACCATTCCCCTGAAAACTCACCTGGGGCATATTTAGAGAGACCGGCCCCTCTGAATAGGATCTCCACTCCGCCGGAGACGGGCGGAAGCCAAGGTAGAGGATGCAGACCCGGGTCTTTGCTTTCCCCCTTTTGCGCTGAGAGGCCTGCAGTTACGCTGCGGTGTAGTCCTGGGCGATCTGCCGCGCCCAAAGCGAGTTTCCAGGAAAGATAGGGGTGGAGAGAAAGAGGCAGGGCAAGAGGGAGGGAGAGAGAGAAATGGGGGTCAATGGCTGGGAATTACCTCCTGTCCCCGACCAACCAGTCCAGGGAATCGCAAACAGCTTTCCGCCCCCAACCTGCAGGTGTTTGGAGCCTTCCCTCTACCCCCTCCTCCCCCCACCCGCCTTAAAAAACCCTATACATGACCAATCAGGAATAGCTATTTAGTCCAACAACAACAACAGCAACCCCTCCCGACAGGCTGTCTGGAACATTTTCGAACCCTCCAACTGGGATCGGTCTGGTTCAGTGTTTGTTTTCTAAGCAGGGAGGTGTCTACGCGGTTGCCTCCGCAGCCAGATCTCCGACTGCCGCTACACCGGGAAGGGGTAGTCCCGGGCCTGGATGGGCAGAGGTCTGTGTTGGGAAAGGCGAATAGTCCTCAGACTCTGGTCGGTGGGACAGAACCTTGGAGTCCACCCCACCTCATTCTCTCCCTGATGCGCATCCACCCACCTCCAGCCCAAAGCGAAACCAGAACCCAATTCCAGGGGTTGTACTTTCCTACAGAAATGGAATTCGGAAGGGGGTTTGGGGAGAGATATCTGATATGTTCAGGTCCTTTCTCGTCCGCCTACTGACTAAGAGAAAGAAAAAAGAAAGAGAGAGGAAGAGAGAGACAGAAAAAGAAAAGGAAATAAAGACTAACAAAGAGGGAAAGAAGAAAGGGGAAAAGTCCCCCATCTTCCGCTCCACCACCCCTACAAAACGATTTTCGATTTTTCAGGGTTTAGACAGAGTAAGGGAGAATTCTAATCATGTCTTACAGCAATAAACAGGGTGAAAGGAAAGGAACGTAAAAACAAACCCGATACTACTTTCAAGGATGTAGCAGGATTTAGCTTGCTTTTATTTTTTCCTGGTGGATTTTGTTTAATTTGTTTTGCCTAAATCGTCAGGCTTATGATCACACATCGAAGTCTTGGATTAACTGCGAAGCACTCCTTCTGTTTGCCGCGGCTTTGGTGGAAATATAGGAATAATTCTTCCCTGGATTGCAATACAATGCGGAAGATTTTCTTTCTCCGCTTCTAATCCAAAAGAGGGGAGGGGAGGAAAGCAGAGGGGAATCCATCCATTCCCGGCGTGTTATCGGGGGGTTAATGTTTGCGTGTTCGCTGGGGGTTAATGTTTGCCTTATGACCAAGTCTCTGTGTCCGTGCCTCTCTCCATTTTCTCTTCCTACCTCAAACCCAGCAACTTAGAAAACGGCGGTAGCGGGGAAAAAACCCGCTGCTTTGTTCTCCCGCCAAAGGAGCCAAAAGGGACAAACTGCTGCGCTCTAGGATGATTATTTTAATTAAAATAGGATGTTAATGATGACGATTGTGATGGCGATGGCATTAGCAATTACAATAATTGACTAAACAAAATCCTTTCAACCCGAGCTAGGGCCCCACTAACCCGGTCCCCTCAAGAGCCCGGATTCGGCCTCGGTCTCGGATGCCACGGGTACCAGACCCAAGCGGCAACGTCGCTCACCCGAAGAGGGGGCGGGAAAATCTTCCCTGGAGGTGATCCCGAATGTCCCCACCCGAGGCGCGAGGCCTGGTTAATATGCCCATTGTCCTTTCGGGGCCTCTCCCTCGGACCCCGGCGGCCGCACCCACGAAACTGACCAGAAATGGACGAAGCCGGAGTGCAGCGGGAACCGAAGCCCGCAGCGACCGGCTCGAAGGCGCCGGCCTCGGTGAGCGCTGCTCAGCTTCAAGCCTGGAGGAGCCTCCCATTCACCAACGAACCCCTCAAACACCGAGGCACAGGCGGGCCTCTGGGCAGAGCAGCCGCCGGCCCGGCTCTGTCCGCCCATCCAAGCCAACAACTGGCTCCCGAATACATCATAATTTGGAATAAAATGTGAAATCCCGCTCCCCGCCCCCATGCCGCCGCCCCCACCAGCGCCTCGATCTCTCGCTCGCCCTCCCCCCACTCCCGCCCCCAGCGATTTGCAAACGCACCTCTAAAGGACACAGGCACACAGGCACACAAGTCAGTGCGGACAGGACCACACAGGGTCCAGCCCCACAGAAGGGCAACAAACAAGCACCACTCAGCACTGCTCCAGAAGCCGACTTGGTCAGCCCCGCACACTGCCCAACAGGACACAACGAAATCGGTTAAACGTATCGGCTCACGGACACACAATCCAACACAGTCGGAATCACACACGCCCGACATAACGAAGACACCACCCAAACACAGTCGCAGAGGCCACACACCCCCCTACACAGAACCAGATCCCTGCTGAGAACGCCAACTGAGCACAATCGTACGCAACGAAGAAAACGCAGAAGGGCCTCAAAGGGTCCACATCTACACACCCCAACCGCGCAGGCACACCACACTGGGACACACAGCCTGTCGCCAAGAAGACCACACTCAGAAGCAGCCAACGCCGCCCACAGCTCTCATGAACGCACTCTCACAATCCCACCGCATGCACACAACCACGAAGAAGAAATGAAAACCAACCACCGCCTCTCGCATTTCTGTATATTGCGTAAGGAAAAGGGGGAAGGAAGGAAGAGAGTCTCCGAGGCGGGAGGGGCGGCGGCAGCCGGGGCGGTGGCGTCCGTGGAAAATGCCCCCCCATCGAAAGGAACCGAGGGAAAGGGAGCGAAGACCTCTTTTGCGGACGTGGGGAAAAAGAGGAGGAAATTGATGAGGAATTCGGTGGGAGGCCTCGGGTTGCTTTTCCCCTAGAAAAAGGCCAGAATGCTCACGTTTTTCCGCTACGGGGGTAGGTGTGTGGCCATTTTGAGGCCCGGTCCTGAGCGGCGGCGGCCCGG